ATATCTGACAGTGATTAAAATCACTATCAAAAAAAAAAACGCTTCGATGCAAATATTTAAATAGTGTTTATAGCATTATAAAGTTAAAAATGTAAAAAATAAAATCGAGAATTTTCACACAAAAATAGCATTTGGTAGCTATTTTCACCAAGAAGATAAAATAAAGTCCGAAATTTTTTTTTTCTATGATAAAGTAAATTATATTANAGAAGATAAAATAAAGTCCGAAATTTTTTTTTTCTATGATAAAGTAAATTATATTAGCTTTAATTTAAGATATATATAAAAGTGTTACATTTCCCAAACATTTTCAAAAGTCAAGTTGAAAAAGTTAATTTTATGTGAAAAAGTTGTGATTTTAAATCCCCCCCGTGGGCAAGTAAAGGGTCAGTATAAAAAAAATATACCAAATGATAAGTAATGATATCATGCATCTATATAAAAAACAATTATATTGATTTGGTTATTTTTAAAAAAGTTACAGCAACTTTAAGTAAAAAAAAATTGAAAAAATTTCGAAAATTAGCGATTTTTAAATTTGTAATTTTTTTTTAGTATTCCCCCATTTACGTGGAACGAGAGAATTTTTTTCAATTTTTGAGGATTATGTCTTCGACTAGATACGATTTTTGATATTTTGACGTATCATTGAAAGAAATCGGTTCGGTGAGATCTGAGAAAAAGTGGAAACAGACACAAAAAAATATATATATATAAACACATCTTAGTAAAACCAATACCTTCTCAGCTTCGCATCGAAGGTAAAACAAAGTTGACACCCTTATCAGGCATAAGGAATGAACTTAAAAAGTATTACATAGTTTATAGTTCAAGAATAATGTGTAACTAAAGATAATCGAAAAAAAAAATGTTCAATTTATTATTTAATTTATTATTATTCTGTAAGTAATTGAGCGGGTTATGATAAAAAAATCACTCTGTATATCAATACATTAATTTGTGGTGTTGATTATAGTAGTTAAACTGGCAACGACCCATAGTGCGTACCACTATGTTTGGCTCATTTATTATTGATACCTCCTTGTTTTGTGTTTAACTATTGTGTTTACCGCCACCGAATGTGATTTGGATACGCGTTAGCTATTATACATGTATATTAACTCAAAAACTTGAAACTTTATCTTTGTATATCTATTAAATCAATAAAATTATGTTAAAAATTTAAATGCCATTTACTACTAAATTGAAAACATTTCAATTAATTAAAATAATGTGTACTCATTTAAAAATATAAAGTTGATATCCTTACTAGACATAAAGGTTGAATTTAATATGTATTACATAACTGATAGTTCAAGAAATGTGTAACTAGAAGTAATTTTTAAATTTCTTTTATTCTGTAATTAATTAATTACATTAAGTAGTTTATGCACAACTTAATCGGTTGTCCATAAACACTAAGTATGAATGAATGAAGTCAGCATGTTCGTGATATGATAGTGTTGTAAAACAAAAATAAGAAAGGGAAAAGATAATGATGGAAGGGAATGTTATAGGAGTATCGCAAAATAAGAACTATCCCTTTTCTCGAGGTGTGTTGTTCGAGGGTCACTTGCTATCTTAAATACATGCACAATAAATTAGGATGTTCTTACCTTAATCATATAATCCTTATTGATACAATAATTTACTCGTGGAACAATAAAGAAAGTATGAATTATAATAACCAATTTGTATAAAAAAATATCTTCGATTATTTTATTATTAAAAACACATAATAAAATAATAGTAAAGGAAAAACAAACAAAACTAAAAAAAATACATTTTAATTGGTTTAAAAGGCGAAAGAGCCGGACGATGATCGCGACGTGATCGTAAGTCGGTTGGATCGGAACAGGACGAGGACTATGTGCCCAGGGATATTCTTAATGTATTCCACGGATCCCCTTCCACAGATGTGTATGATTATCGTCCAGCTCTTATTGGGTTTTACATTTTTATGTTTCTTATGATACCTTATTGATCAGGGTTTTTGTAAGTGTTTTGAAGGAGCGGATGTTTGTGGCGTGATCGTGGGAGTAGTGTTTTAGAGGATAGACGGTGTTTATTGTGTTTTATATGTTATGTGAAAAGATATTGTGTTGTAAAAGAATTTCTATATGTGTTGAGAAGTGAATAAGAAGAAAACAGAAGACTAAATTGTTCATGTGTGTAGGGGCTATTACAACAATAGGGTTAAATTTTAGTAAAATTAGATGATAAATCATAAATTTCATTGATTTTAAATTTATATCCGAAAATATAAAGATGTAATACTTTTATATAAATTTTAAATAATTTTATACGTTAAATTCAATTATATAAATTTTAATGTTTAGTCTTCTTCAAGGATGAAAATTGTATTTTACCAGATTTCAATTGTTTGCAAACTATGTTATATTTTTATATTTAAATTAATTTAATTTATTTAAAATCTGTAAGTGCTTAAATTGAGTAATTATTTAAATATTCGAAAAATTTACGAATTATAAAAAAGCTTTATATTGATTTTTTTTTCACCTATCTAAATAATAAATTTATATTTATCGGTACCCAGCACTATTATTTAGCTTTCTTGTCATAAAAATTGATATTAAGAGAAACGACAGATAGATAGATAGAAATACAAATAAAATTATTTATAAAATTTTAAGAACATTTTATTGATAAATTATACACTTGGTTAAATTTTAAATTATTATTAGTATTTCTTTAAAATAGTTGCTTTTTATTCTAAATTATATTTTTTGGGAATAACTAAATAGTTAAAATTTAACTTTAATATATATAAATAATTTTTATTGACGTTCAGCATATAGTGTCATGATAATTATATTTGATTAATACAATTATTATTTGAATTGGTTACAATTTAAATATATTTTTTCGACAATAGATTTTTGTTTATCATAATTTTGACCTACAAAATAGTCTGATTTATTATATAAAAATGGAATTTATTCTAATATTAAAATTATTTATCACGTTAATCCGATATTATTGAATTTATATTGTCAGTACTAGACTATCATTATTGTTTCAGTAAAAATCAAATTAAAAATGAACTTCTATTTATTTTTGAGAATAATCTTTTGTTTTACGTGTATAATTACTATACCTACATTTTCAACTGCATTTCCCTGCTTCGACAAAGAATCTAACAACTATGATTCAGCAAAAGTATTTTCAAATATAATTATTATTTTAAACATTTTTTATTGTCATTTATTGACTTGGGATTTTCTTTTATAGGTATAATAAATTATGATGATCTGCTTATAAACTATAATGTATTCAGAACAGTTAATTACTTGTTAAACATTTCTCAAAACGTATTTTTTTTTCCTAATTTAAAATTTTTAGCATCCTTGCCATAAATATACTTATATACTCTACATACTATGAACAATAGATCAGTTAAAACATAAATATGGTCTAAGTATACAATTTTGTAGAATAATATACATTTTATACAAAATTTTTTAGACTTTTGAATATCTATCAATTTTAAAATACATATTAACAATTAAAATAATTATTTTGTAGTGTAATGGATCAAGCGAAGAAATTTATTTTTCAAAAGAGGTGAATTGTTAAATATAAATAAATGCTTTTTTAATTTAATTATAAGTATACAATTTTTTAGAGAAGAGTATATATATTATACTCACAGTATATAATATCTTTTAATTAATAAAATGAGAATGACCGATAACTTTTAAATATTTTTTTTGATGCCTAGGAAATAATGACTGCTTATGAGGCACAGAATAAATTATTTTTATGTTTAGGCATTTTTTTCATACTATTCCTTGTTTATATATAAAAATAAGTTCTTCTAAAATAATTAGTTTAATAGTTATTATAGGTCAATGTTTTTTTTAATTAAGTAATTTTTTAATAGTTAAGTTTGTTTTAATTTCAAAATCAAAAAAAGTTCAATTAAAATAACCCATGTTGATATAGATAATAAGAGTGAGATACAGGAGATTGAGAAAGATTAAAAATAATAATTATTTTATAATAATTTCACAATTTATAAAAATTCATAAATATTTATACTATTATACACAAAATCGCACTACATTACACACAACCAATGTCCCCAACACACAGTTTTAGTTAATATCAAATATATTAATAATTTATAATATTTTTCTATGTATTTTTATGGTCTATCTTAGAGAAAGAATAATTAATGTTTAGCAAACTATACAACCATTTTTAATTAAACATAAATTTAATTTTAAAATTAATAGCAAATTTTTGTATATTGAAATTTTTTAACTTTCATAGTTTATAAAAGTTCATATGTATGTCGTGTAAAATAAACAAGTAAAAACTCAATTATAACTCTGTCTCGGTATACATATTTGTGTAGTTGAAAATGATTTATTATATAAAAATGAAATTTATTCTATTATTAAAATTATTTATCACGTTAATCCGATATTGTTGAAATTATATTGTCAGTACTAGACTATCATTATTGTTTCAGTAAAAATCATATTAAAAATGAACTTCTATTTATTTTTGAGAATAATCTTTTGTTTTACGTGTATAATTACTATACCTACATTTTCAACTACATTTCCCTGCTCCGACGAAGAATCTAACAACTATGATTCAGCAAAAGTATTTTCAAATATAATTATTATTTTAAACATTTTTTATTGTCATTTATTGACTTGGGATTTTCTTTTATAGATATAATAAATTATGATGATCTGCTTATAAACTATAATGTATTCAGAACAGTTAATTACTTGTTAAAAATTTCTCAAAACGTTTTTTTTTCCTAATTTAAAATTTTTAGCGACCTTACTATAAATATACTTGATATACTCTACATACTATGAACAATAGATCAGTAAAAACATAAATATGGTCTAAGTATACAATTTTGTAGAATAATATACATTTTATATAAGATTATTTAGACTTTAAAATATCTATCAATTTTAAAAGACATTTTAACAATTAAAATAATTATTTTGTAGAGTAATGGATCAAGCGATGAAATTTATTTTTCAAATGAGGTAAATTGTTAAATATAAATAAATATTTTTTAATTTAATTATAAGTATACAATTTTTTAGAGAATATATATAAAATCTTTTAATTAATAAAATGGGACTGACCGATAACTTTTAAATTATTTTTATTTAACTTTTTTTTGATGACTGGAAAATAATGACTACACGTGAGGCACAGAATATATTATGTTGATGTTTAGGCATTTTGCTCTAAATTTCTCTTTGTCTATATACACACAAAATCGCACTATACTATTAAAAGTTCATATGTATGTCGTGTAAAATAAATAAGTAAAAACATAATTACAACTCTTTTTTGGTATATATATATTTGTGTAGTTGAAAATGTTTGATATAAAATTATTTACAGTTCTCAATATCTATAAATTTTTGAAGTAGTCATATTTTTAAATAAAATAATTATTTTGCAGGATGATGATGTTGATGTTGATGGTTTAAATTTATCCGATGTTTCATGGGAGGTGAGGTGTTATAGATATTTATAGTAACTCAAAATAAAAAGAAAAATATATATAATATATAGAAAGGGATAGAGTGAGTTACTATGGTTCATGAGGATAATGAATGTAATAGGAAAACATAATGATTTTTATATATTTATATAAAAATTATTCTGATTAATTGTCATATTCTTTAATACAAATAATACCACAAGTACTGAGAGCTATCAATTACAGATAGGATGTAGTCACTTTATGTGTCTACCCAGAGTAATATGATGGCTGTATATAAATCTCCAACTTGACTCCTGTAATAGATACTTGATCAATGATTTAACTCTGCTAATTAGCTCCGTACAAACATTAATGATTTACTTTAATAACTATTTTTATTTAGTGATCATTCAACCTTTCTTTGTCCCTACTTAAACTATGTATTTAAAAAAAATGATTAATTTTAAACTTTATTATTTTAATTAATATTAGTATTTAACTTAATGGAAGTACACTGCCAGATATTTAAGCCTTTTTTGGTCCCATTATATTCCTATTATATTAATTTTTATAGTTATATACATATGCAAAGGTGTCATAAACTCTATTCTTATCTCTTTATTAAATTGATTTGTGTTCTTTTTTACATTTTATCCCATAAAATTAATACTTAATTCTGAGAAATTATCAATGAATTAATTACAATATTAAACTTATGTGAAATATATCATCTATATGATAGTTTCGATAAATAATATAGTTTAACGCTTAACACATAATAGTAATTATGTTACTCATATGTAACAGTATGACATAATTTTAACTTGACAAATAATAATTATACTGGTATTATAGTTTGCTGCTTAACAGATAAGAATCGTAATGAGTTTAATGATACATTAAAATTAAATTTTTTTTTACATTGACGGACATTTTTTTTATAGTAAAACAATCTTTAAAGATTTAATTGTATATAAATTAAATGTTATCAGACGTTTCAAAACATTTTCAAATATTGAAGTAAAAAAAAAATTTTGTATGCATGAGTGACGTTTTTCAAATTTCTCGTTTATTACCCAGCAGTTAATAATCATAATAAGAGGTTAATGAATCATAATATAATATACAGAATTATTTTTTTAATTAAATTTTACACAGAAATTGTTTGATCTACATACTATATAAACACATACTAAAATACAATTCTGTTTTAGTGTACAATTTTGTTTAGTTAAATTTTTTTGATATAAAATTAGTTACAGTTTTAAATACCTATAAACTTTAGAGCAGTCATATTTAAAATAAAATAATGGTTTTATAGGATTGTGATTTGGATAATATTGAAACAGATTTATGGCATCTTTCCTTTGAGGTAAGTTATTACAGATAGTATAAAGAAATATATATTTTTTTATTAAATTACTACGAATATGTTGTTAAATCTACATACTATATAAGTTATTAAATGATTTGTAAAAATATATCATTAAAAACTAAAATACAGTTCTGTTTTTATATATAATTTTGTACAGATAAATATATTTGAAATAAATTCTAAATATCTCCAAGGTATTTAACTAGTCATATTTTCAAATAAATAAAAATTGTTAAATAGGATGAAGAAAAACCAATAGAATATGAACGATTCGATATATTCAATCCTTCAAATGAGGTAAGGTGTTACTTATATTATAAAAAAATATTTAATTACTGAGTATATAATTTCGTCAGTAAGAGTATGTATATTTTAGATTCACGTTACAGAAAATTTCCTAATTAATAAAATATATGGTTGATAACAACTTTTGAATTGGTAATTTTGGAGGAATATTTCAAAATAATGAGACGTAGGTTTTATAATTTTTGTGATTAATTATTTTGTGCTATAATATTACCTCAACTAATTATAAAAAAACATTATCTTCTAAAATAATACTTCAAAAGTAATTCTTGAATAGTAATTTTCTTAATTAGGTCCTTAAAAAATCCAAGTTTATATAGATTTAAGGAGTAAAAAAGAAAGGATAGAGCGAGATAAAAAAAAACATAATTAGACATAAAAAAATTTATACATACTCAAAATAATAAAACCAATTACAGTGAGAGGTGGCACAGTTAGGATGTGGCATAGTTTGGTCCAGTATAGATGACATCTAACAGTGATTAAAATTACTATCACAAAAACGTTTCGATGCAAAGCTGTAGATATTTTAATATATGTGTGTTTAATTTTAAAAAATTGTTGGATTTTTTCAAAAGCTACATAATCCCCTATTCTCTTATTTATATCCTGATTACAAGTTTTATTATATATATATATATATATTAATAAAATATCAATAGTACTTATCTTAAAAAAAAATATAATAATCCATACATTTTTCAAAAAGTTGGAACATTATAAAGTTAAAAATATAAGAAAGAATTTTTTTACAAAAATCGTATTTTTTTTATTAACTTTGAAGACTGTTTTCACCATGAAAACAAAATAAAGTCGGAAATTTTTTTTTTTAATATTAATATACAGGGTGGCCCACCACTCACTGACAACTTAAATAACTTTTGATCCAGTTAATATTTTTAGTTGATTTTTTTTTTAAATAATAGTTATACGTTAGGTCTATAGCTATATCTCAATAATTAATTTTTTTACATTTTATTAAAAATATTAATTATTTTTAAAATTTTAAATAAAAAGTAAAAAAAAATCTAAGATAGCTATTTTGTAGAGTAGAATTTAAGAAAAATTTTAGTAAAAAAATATCTTATTAATATTCAGTAGTAAATATTCTGTAGCGTTTTGAAGTTTGTGAAAATTTGAATTTTCATGTACTATTTTACGGTATTAAACATTGAAATACGTATTGAGAAAAGGACAGAAGAAAACGCTATCTTTTCAATATACTTTTGAATGAGAGTGATAAGTAATAATTGCCTTATCTAATTTCTTATCATGGTATTTATGCCAAGTTTGTAATGTATACACACTATCATCATATGTATACACAGTAATCATGAAAAGATAGCGTTTTCTTCTGTCCTTTTCTCAATACGTATTTCAATGTTTAATACCGTAAAATAGTACATGAAAATTCAAATTTTCACAAACTTCAAAACGCTACAGAATATTTACTACTGAATATTAATAAGATATTTTTTTACTAAAATTTTTCTTAAATTCTACTCTACAAAATAGCTATCTTAAATTTTTTTTTTACATTTTATTTAAAATTTAAAAATAATTAATATTTTTAATAAAATGTAAAAAAATTAATTATTGAGATATAGCTATAGACCTAACGTATAACTATTATTTAAAAAAAAAATCAACTGAAAATATTAACTGGATCAAAAGTTATTTAAGTTGTCAGTGAGTGGTGGGCCACCCTGTATATTACATAAGCTTTAATTAAAGATATACATATAAAAGTGCCAGAGTTTCCGAAACACTCTTAAAAATTAAGTTGCAAAAGTTCTATACTTTCAATATTCATTTTTAAGTTTTAAACCCCCCTGTATATGGGTAAATGGTCCGATTTAAAGAAAAAGTATGTCAAATGAAATATGTTTATAAATACTAATTCTTATTACAAAATTGAAAAATATACATTTTTTAAAAAGTTATATAAATATATAGTTAAACATGTAAAACATAAAAACGAGTATTTATATAATAATAGCATTTGGTAGCTATTTTCACAATGAAGACAAAATAGTCCGACATTTTTTTTTAACATAATAAAGACTATTACATTAGATTTAATTTAAGGTATATATAAAAGTGTCAGATTTTCTAGAACACCTTCAAGAGTTAAGTTGATAAAGTTAATTTTTTGTGAAAAAGTTGTCATTTTCAATCCTCTCCTGTGAGTAGGTAAAGAGTCAGATTTATAAAAAAATATATACCAAATGATCGATAAAGACATCATACATGTATAAAAAAACAATTTACACTGATTTATTATGGCAGTTTTAAATAGAATAAATTGAAAAAATTAGCGAATTTTAAATTTATAATGTCTTTGACTAGATATAATTTATGATCTTTTGACGTATCTGAAATAAATCGGTTCGGTGAGAGCTAAGCAAATGTGTTAACAGACACAAAAAAAACACATCATAAACTATTCGTAAAACTAATACCTTCTCAGAATCACATTAAAAATGATTAAATTTTTTGTATTTTTGAAGATAAAGTGTGATCTAGTAAATAAATCTCTTTGTATGTAATTAAATAAAGCAAAAAAATTTATCTTCGAAATTACTTTGTTTTATAAGTAATTAAAATAATTATGAAACTGATCACACTATATAAAAAAAACCTTGTAAAGGTATATAAACATATATCTTAAATTCATTTTTAATTAATATAAACATTTATTAATTATTTTATTTATTATTACAATCCTAAAATTAACTTAATATTGATTTTTGTTAGATAAATTATCCCTTATCATTTTATCTTTCACAAATAAATGCAAAAAAATTTGCTGTTCATTCTGATGTTAAGGGTAGAATTAGTATTAAAAAAATGATAGATATAGGACCCGAATTTGAAGAAGATCCAACTGAATACCAAAAATACATTGCAGGGAACATTGTTTCAGGTAATTCAGATTTAACTTTTTAAATTTATTATTTATTGAGGAGTATAACAGATCTAATAGATGAATCTTATATATTTGATTACAATTAACATTTCGCTGATTTCTTATACATTACTGTTCTCGAAATGGATTCTTATATTACCTTGAAACTTGTTTCACTATATCTATAAGCTTACCTATAGAAATAATTAAATATAATTGTCGATCTATAATAATACCATGCATAAAAGTTATTAAAATAGTTCATTGTAGTTTTAATACATGGAGTTAATATATATGTAACGCGATTGGAGTATGCATAATAAATATACAACAGCACCCCCACTCTATACATTAAACAATTGTAATTCAAAAAGTATTTTTATTTTTTTTATTTTATAGAAATATACAATCTGTACAATGAGCACAAGAAGCATATATGATAAGAGTAGAATAATTTACATTAATATATTTTGATGGGAGAAACCACTCATTAGTAACACATCCCATATTTTTTTTTATTTTTATTTCTAAAATTTTTATTGTATATTTTCATTGGACTTAATTATATTAATATTAATTGATGTTATTAGAAAGGAGATCATGGCACCACTTACGTTTTAAACGTCTGAGTGGATTTTCTGGTAGGAAAATGTTGAGAGGTTTTTTATTAAGGGATTAGAGTGGGAGAGTAATTTAATGGGGAATCTTTTATAGTAGGAGATGGCTTTTTCATGAACTGTTTTTATGTTAAGGACGTTATGGAGTGTATAATTAGAGATATATGAAAGTGTATTGATTAGTTTTCTTAGGATACATTTTGAAAGCATTGAATTTAATTGATATTGGGTTTTTTAACATTGTCCCATAACTGAAGGCCGTAAGTCCATATAAGTTTTAAAAGAGATTTATAAATTAGAATTTTAATATTAATGTTTGAAAATTTATTGTTTATGATTAATTATTTGAGTAACCGCAGACGGCTATTTAAAGACGAGCATTTAATTTTAATGTGCTGAGCCCACTTGAGCCGTTTATCTAGTGTGAGACCGAAATAATTAACAAAGGAAGAGGAGGGGATTTGTATTCCATATAGGTATAGATATTAAAAAGGATTGGAGATAGGATACCTCCTTATAAAACATCCGAATTTATAGAGGCTATATCAGATACAGAAGAACCAAGACGAATTTGGAAAAAGAGATCTATTAAATAGGATTTAAAAACAGTTTAAAGTAGTTAGAGGGATACAAATTTTTTTTTAATTTATATAAGAGGCTATCGTCTTATACCCTATCAAAGGCTTGTAAGATGTTAAGAAACGCCCTTGTGCAATATAACTTTTTCTAAAGCGAGTACGATATTGCTACTCTATGGAATTAATATATAGTGGAGTGAGAACCCCTAAAATCAAATTGAGAATTAGGCGATATGTTATTGACAGAGTGACAGGGAAGTATTCTTTTAAGTAATAATTTTTCAAAAAATTATGCAAAGAACGGTAAAAGATTTATTGGTCTGAAGGATGTTGGCAGGTGAGGGAGTTTATTGAGTTTAGGAACTAATATAATAGTCGAGAATTTCCATTATAGAGGGAAATAATAAAATCTAATGATTGAATTAAATCTATGTGTTAAATGGATAATAGGTTTTTTTGGAAGGCATTTTGTACCCACAGCCGTTATAAGGTCAAAACTAAGAGATTCGTTGGAAGGATAATTAGGAATTGTGAATTTGACGTTATTTGGTTTAAAGCATTTAACTGGAAGATAGAGTGGTAAAGGTGCGCCAAGGTATGTCATTACAGACCTAGTCATTTCAGGTGAGTGTATATTCGGTTGAGATTTAAAAGTATCAGCTTGGTGTTCTTTGAATAACTCGGCCTTTTCCAAGTCGGAGATAGCTAGACTGACGTTGGTTTTTTTTATTGGGAGATTAGTTGATTTATATCTAAGAGCTTATTTAGTAGCTCTTCATAGGCTACCATTGTAAAATGTTAGCTACATAAGTAATTTTTATAGGAGTTGGTTTTGTGTTGAGCAAGCATTTTTTTAAGTTTATTTGCTAACTTATTATATAAGTGTTTATGTTACGGAAATATAGTTCGTTGGAATAAAACTCTAGCTCTATGTTTATTGTAATAAACCAAAAAGAAAAAGAAATTAAAATGAAAAAAACTAGAAAAGTAGAAAAGTAAAATAATAAAAGATTATAAGATGGTAGGTAGGTTTATGGGGAATGAATAATGGAGGATAAAAATGGTGGTGATGTGGATTTTACTATTGAAGGTGTGAATGCTTATATTATACCAAAAGAAAATCTGAGGGTTGATTCTTAGTCAGACTAAAGATATAATATAGCGTATGTATGGCCGAATAATAATAAAAATTATTAAATTTGGTTAATAAATGGCGGAGTAACACATGTTTAAATGTGGCAAGATATGTAAGGGTGCAAAGAATATAATAATATGAATAAAGAAGAATTCAGAGGGGTGAATAAACGGAGTTTAAATACATGAGGGTAATGATCAAATAAATAAAAATGCACACAAACGTTGTGACAAAAATAATGAACTGATCTCGGGGTTGAACAATATTTATTAAATGAAGTCAATTATCCTACCAAACTTTATTACCTATCTTAATGGTTACGCAACANCCTATCTTAATGGTTTATTACGCAATAGAGTATTTATAATTTGAAAGCGAGAATTTAAATTTGTACTTACCTTGTATCCCACGTAGTGTAATGCTTATTTTAGACAATCCAATGTTAATTATGAGTTCACACTATATTTCACACGTTGTACACTTTGAGTTCGACAGTAAATATGACCGTTTGAGAATAAAGCGTTTAATTATAAATAATGCGAAACCGTTACACAAAATCTATGACTGTATTATTATATGCAAGAGATTCTATACACTCTATATTTTTATAATTATAATCAAATAATGTATCTTTAGTTGACTTTGTAGAATGAGTATATTGCTTGAGAGATTATATTTTATTGAGAGATCGACACCAATATTTCTTAAATTTTCCTCTGGCCTGGCCTAAACAAGATTCAGAAATATTTATATCTATGTAAAAGATTTGTCAAGGCGGAATTGTGGTGGCCCAATGTGTCCCGGTGCTAAAATAAAACACCTTGAAAGGATGCGGCACAATAATCACCAAGACAAAAATTAAACACTAAAAACATATATTTGTAAGTTTCTCTGTGCTGTCTGCCGGCGCGATGTTCGTTAAAACAAAGACATTAAACCACAGAAGATTAGCTACCCAATACACATAGGCTTACAAATATATTCTAACCTAACACACCTAACTTTAAAAATCTTTAATTGCAACCTTTACTCTGTCTGCCGGCGCGATGTTCGTTAGAACAAAGACATTAAACCACAAAAGATTAGCTACCCAATAAGTATAGAGTTGCAATACACTTAGTCATATAATAAATATTTATCATTAACTGAGAAAATTAGAGTTGATTCGATTTTATTATATATATAAAAAAATGTTTTGTTTTAAAATATTAATTGACATTTATTTCCATGGTAAAATAAAACATTATTATTTAATGAACAATTTAAATTAAAATAAAAGATTCACCAAAACAAAATTCACTTTAAAATCTCTAAGTGTCATTTAGTTTTAAAGAAAAATATTCTAAGTCCAAATAAATTAAAAAATAGACTAAGTCCCAGAGAGTAAGAATCTTGAATAGAGTGTCGCAGATTTTGTGTATTTTAATCGCCAAAAGAACTGATTTTAATAGGAAAAAATGGGTTTTTATAGTAGACGAGTTTCCTGTTGCGATCCCTAGTGTGATCTTAGAAACTGTAGATCTTAATTAATTGTTAAATGTGATTGGCTGGAGTTAATTAAAAAACCCGAACATGAGCGTTACTTTGAATCTGTACGATAATCAGATTTAATTGCCTGATTTATTGATATTTTAAGTTTTAAATAAGGGAACTCTGTTTTGGTGATCTTGTGAATTCACAATATACATGTACAAAAGATAACATAATATAATATTTTAATATTATAAGTAATAATATAATATTACATTATCAGATATTAATTTTCTTATTAGATCTGGTAAAACAACTGTTTTGTATTGGGAGATGTTATGTCTTCAGTAGCCATCCAAGCAGCTATTTGAATGATATTAGTGAGATTTTTTACAGCTTTTTTTATGTCCTCAGTATATTTAAGTTTTGAGCTTGGTTTAATTTTCTGATTAACAAGATTTTGAAACATATATCGATCTGCGTTTACTTAAAATAACTTGGGATGACTTATATGAGTTTGCAGAGTTGAATTAATGGTAAGTAGAACTGATGAATGATCAAAGTTGAGCTCAAGGATATTGTCTATAGTGTAATTTAACTTATTCAGTATTTTTGTTATAAAAATGTCAAGTAGGTCTGAATTTTTACAATGGGACGAAGGCGAATATGTATGACCTGGAGGAGCAAGAATATTTAATTTTTTTAATGACACAAAATTATGTAGAACAAGACCACGGGGTTATTTGAGCGACAGCTCCAAATTTGGTGATTGGCATTGAAGTCGCCACCGAAAATGAAATTACCTTTCAAAGTGTTAAAATAGTTGTTGAAATCATGTTCGTGACATTATGTTTGGGAGGAGAGTACAATGCAGCAATAGTAAATGAAGTATTTTTCAGTTAAGGATATGGAACAGGATTGTATATAATCTTGGGAATAATTGGGAAGAGGTATGAATTGAATAGAATATCTAATAAAAATAACTACTCCTCTATGAGCAGTGTTGTCTAGATCGTTGCATTTGAATTATTTATAACCAGGGATGAAAACATTTAAGTATTCTGTAAAATGAGTTTCTGTTATAAGTGCAATGTCTGTGCATTTAATATGACGGACAGTTTGTAGTTCATTAATGTGATTTTTAAGCTATTAGCATTAAACTGAAGAATTAGTAATGAATTTTTTGTAAAAGACTGACTAGTCATTTTTCTTGTCGAGCAAAATGGAGATAAATTTTGTTAAGAGAGATATAAGGGGATTGATTAGAGACTTACGGTCTTCAAGAAAAGTTGAAATGACTATTAATATCTAACGATGGTGGAGGAATTTGACTATTAATATTATTGGAAGTAATTTGAGAAATGTGTGGTTAATATTAAAGAAATCTTTTAATGAGTGGTTGTCTTGTTGTACATTAAAATTATTACTTTTAAGATTATCATACAAAAAGTTATTTTTATGTGTAGATTTTTTTCGTTGTTGAAAATCTCTGTAAACTCAACATCTTTTGTTATTGACTGGGTAGCTACTTGAGCACAGTGTAAATTTTTGGAGGTTGTTTCAAGGCTTTGAGCAGTTAGACGAAATATGATTGGCGCCAAAACGCACACATTTCAGTGGGTAACCACATTCGTCTTTTGTGTGTCCATAGTCTTGACAATTTATATATTGGCTTATTGTTTTGCGTTTGTACGGCTCTTCAACATTAATCTTTGTAAGTAATAAGAAGGCTAAGTCATATATTTTTTCGATTTATCATTTGGTTCTAAGTCAAAAAAGAAGAGTTGTAAGGGATTTTTACCAAATTTTTTGATAACGTTGGTTACTTGCCTAACTTCAAAAAGTCTAATTTCAAGTTTATATTTTAATGTTTCCACCGAAATAGTAGGATGTAAATTACGGATCACTACGCGTAAAGGCTTGTCTTCTTTTTACTGATAGGCGTGAAATTCCGCTTTCTGTTCTTTTAAAACCCGGACTAGTGCTCTATACGAATCTGGAATTTTTGTATGTATTTTAAGGCGATCTACTGTTGATTTACATATGAAATTGTCCACTCCAATCCATTCAATACGAACCGTGCAAAGATCAGTGAAGTTTTCCACGCCTTTTATGAAAATAGGGAGAGGGATTTTATTGGTTATTCCGAATTACTTTCAGGGGGGTCCTGATTATGTGTGATTTCAACATCATTTTCATTATTAAGTATTTTATAGCGGTTTATAGAGTGAAATAGTTAAATACTTTTTTTGTTAGAAGTGGTTAGGCGTGGCGAACCAGGATTTGAATTTTAAGAAGTAGAATGATGCCTTTTATGGGAAATCTTTTTCCAGCCATCAGCACTATTATTCAATACAATCGGGGAGAGCTGATTAATTTAGTTATTATTACGGTCAATTTGATTGTCAACTCTGTTAGTAGTTATAAACATGACGGCAACGGTAATTTAGATAAGAGGCCGTCGTGCGACAGCCCATCGAGATAAGTACCACAGGCATTGACGTGTGGAAAACCGATATAGTACTGCTTTACGTTATATCTATTTAAATAATATAACAGTTTTTTTAATTTTTTTAACTTACGTTTTCGTTTTTTATATGCAATCCATAGAATAGACAATCTGTGGTATAAGACTGTTACATTTTTACAATTTAAACTTAATTAGATTAGTATACTACTATAACGGAAGAAAAAAAAGACTTATCGTAAAAATGCCCGTGTATTCAACGACTGCTACCGCGCAACTACATGAAAATTTAAAAAAAATTATAGCGAAATGATAATTACAAAATATGCGAATTTTTAATTAGATTGTCGAATCTAGTGAATTATTTATATGAATTATAGAACTCTGTGACTAGAAAATTAAAAACAATCGTTAATTTAAAATAATACCTAGCATGAAGTCTTAAGTTTTTTCAAACATTTTAATTGTACTGGAATATTATAATCATTATATCGTATAATTTATATCAGGAAACATAAACATAATGTAATTAATTTATCAAGATATGATACGAAGATATCAAGCTAAGATATGAATGTTAATTTATAATACCTCTACAAGATGAACTTTAATAATTTCATTTTATATCTACTTGTATTTATTGTTTTAAAACCTCGGACTCTACAATCCTGATAGTAGTTCACGAATGGACCAAATCCCTAAATATCCAATGTCATTAAATGGTCAATCTACCTATATACACTCACATCATATATGCTTATTTTTATTACTATATTGCAATAAAAATCGTACTTTTTGAAAATTTTCTATTCTTATATAATATATAATCTATACACTATATCACATAATTAAATCTAAAATTAGTGGTTTCCATGAAAGAAAATTAAAGTTAAAGGGTATAAGAATTTATTAAACTATAAATTATTGTTAAATGTTATGAGTCAAACGTATTCTTCCTTACAATTATATGAAATTTTCAATTGATTTCAAGAAAATGATTGTCTAATGATTAATCGATCAACCTCTACAATCACCCTTATAGTATTAGATTTGTCAAGGAACGAAATAGTATTAGTTTCTATTAAAGCTCTATTTTTATTGTTTTTCAAAAATGAATATACTATATTAATATAAATGTTTCGGTATTTCCTTAGATGATGTATGGATGCCTGTCAATTCAATTTTTATATCATTATTCAAAAAATTGAGAAAGTTTGAAATTAAATTTAACGAGGACCTTCTTATTGGTGACACAAATAAGAACGACACCGNAAAAAAAAAAACGTGTAAATTTTATAATTTCGTAAAATATTTTATACTTTTTTATTAATATTTTATAATAATAAAAAATAAGAGTTAAGTAATAATACAATTTTATTTAGACAGTAATCTCAATTTCACAAAGTTCCTTTATAATATAATCAAAACAAAACTGAAAACTGAAAAATAAATATTTTTTATTAATCCATTATTCTGCATTATAGAATAATGGATATTGTAAAATAAAATCGACTCCCCTTACCAAATACAAAAAATTACATAAAATGGTATACAGTGATTCATTTGTCGTTAAACACTAAATTTCTCCTAAAATAATTTAATTAAAAAAAATAATTAAAATATTATATTTTAGAATAAATAAATTTTGATTTTATTCAGTATGATTTCTTCTCAATTTGTAAGTCGTCAAATACTTTTTATGTCAATCACTTGTGCTTTATTATGATCCCTTTATTTTTTATAAGACAACATACATATTTAAATAGCTTATATAATAAAAAATTATCTAATTAAAGAAATAACTGATCGATGATAANAATAGCTTATATAATAAAAAATTATCTAATTAAAGAAATAACTGATCGATGATAACATACGCAGTGGACGAAAGTTACTAATTTTATAAAATGTGGACTGGAATTCACATGTGGGTTGTATTTTTATTATATCTCTGCCACGCTACACTTTCAAAAAAGGTATAAAAATATGCATAAGTTGTAAAGTAATGATTCTAAAGTTATTATCAACCAGTAATTTTTTTAGTTAAATAATTTTCTATTATATAAAAATATCATAAATATTGTTCTAACATTTAAAGATGTCCAATCTAAATTTTTAAATCTTATGTTTAATGACTTGGCATGCAAACTGTTACATTCTTTATTCCTATATATTATTTTAAGACTACTGGCTCTTGTGAAAATATAGTATATTTACAATTTTTTTATTTCAGAGATGATAGAACACTTTTACGATGATATTGGAGATACTAAATATGTTATTTGGACTTTTGATAAAGATGAAGATGACTATGTTAAGAAATATAGTTCAAATACGCAAGATGATACGCACGATCATAAGCTTTTTTTACTTGGTTTTGATGTTTTTAAACGTATCAAAAGTGATATTAAGTAAATTAACACAACATAATATTAATGTTATGTTGTTTCAATTTTATTATACGAATAAATTGTTTATACAATTTTTAAGACTAATTTTTTCAATTTATGTACTTATTTATTACTTTTGTTTTTTCACTTCTCTATACAAATTTGGAAAAAAATTTATTTTTTTCTTATGTTAAACAATAAATTTCCTGTAGTTGATATCTATTTTTAACTCTTTCTCTGTTTTGAAAAAATAAAATTATAAGAATACATCTATCTATTTTGTTGAATATATATCCTTCTGAGATAGTATATTTTATTGAGAGATCGACACCAATACTTTTAAAGCTTCTATCAAATATTTTTATAAATGTAAAAATTATATCGAGGCGATATTATGGTGGCCTAATGTGTCCCGGCCTTGACGCCTTGAAAGAATGCGGCACAATAATCATCAAGACAAAATTTAAACACTAAAAATACATACGTAAGTTTCTTTACGTTATCTGCTAAAGCAATGTTCGTTAGAACAATGACATTACCAACTAAACCAGATACTTAATAAGTATAGAGTAGGGCGTTCATTAAAATAATAACAAAAATAGACATTTCANATTTTACACTAAATAATAATATAAAATTATAATCAAACTGTAGTATAATTATTAACACATGTACTAAATGTCACATATATATGAATAAAGCAATAAATCATTTAAGGAATGTTTCCCTTTTTGGGTAATAAAAATAACTACTTATCAACACATGTTTAAAACCAGTCCCCTACAATTCATTAACTACGCCCATGGCAGGGTTTCTATCACAATTAACCAATCACAAATAATTATCCAACATCTTAGGAATTTCAATAGAGATCGCTGGCTTACTTCATCCGGCGTATAAAAACCCATTTTTTCTCGTAAAAAAGCGCTTTTTGCTGCTCCTGCTCTTCTTCTGGGACCTCTGACGACTTCGGACGACCTCTCTTCTAAGTGGTGAACATTGTCTTAGATGATTTATTAATATTTTACACAGGAACAAGTTTTTATTTATTTTATTATCACCTAATATTCTCACGACAAATAGACATTATATCTATTTATATATAAAGGTTTTAAATATTATTATGCCCTTCATTTCTGGACAGCCTCAAATGTGCCGAAAAGAGTGAAGAAGCGTAATTTTATTTATACAGGCATAATAGCCTTATACATTATCGTATATTCATAATAAAGCTTATTGTGCCCTACATTTATGAACAGCCTTAAATGTGCCGAACTAAATGAAGAAGCATAATTTGTGATTAGAATTAACTAGTTTTAGTAGTAGTACTTTATGCCTGTGTACCCGCCAGCCTTAAGGGACTATGCCAATTACCTTTCGGTAACGTGTAGGCAGTTGAGGTACAGAGTAGTACTAAACTTATAAAAAGAGTATTTTTGAAGTGCGCTATATCCGTCGACAAGCCAGTTCTAGAGCTAGTAGTCCGGGTAGAGTTCATCATAAAATATATAGTCCGTAAGATAGGAAACTACATCTTGGAAATATTCTCTGCGTGTGTACCCGCCAGCCATAAAGGACTATGCCAATTACCTTTCGGTAACGTGTAGGCAGTTGACGTAAAGGATAGTAAAAGATGTATTGAAATAATATTTAAAATATATTAGCGAGGTAACTGTGTCCGCGCCAGCCAAGGCTTTACGCTGAGAAACGCTGGGCCACCACAGTCTTGTTAATTATATTTTGACTAGTTCAGAGTAAATTTTAAGAATATCGATATCGACTGTAGGGAATTCATCGCAAATATTATTAGTAAAAACATAGTATAATATAATAGGAATTTAAAGAAAATAAATAAAAAAAAAGGGGTAACAAATTATAATAGACGCAGGTCCCATTATAGAGAATCCTTTTTCTAAGTCTTATATACACAGAGATACTAATTTATCGAAATAAACGCAAACAGTATAAACGACAGTTAACACTGAAAGAAGAAATCACCATAAAACCAACTCAATCAATTACTAAAGGAAATAAAGGTAAGTGCGAATATTTATTTGCATGTTTTACTTCTAAAAAAAAACACGTAATAAACAAAAATAGGAATAAATGAGGTAGGGATATTTTATTATTTAATAAATAAATATAGTTAGACCCCGAGATACGAATTCATTAATACCATCTTTACCCCCTTAAACCTTTCTTTTTTTTTTGTTTATTACATCATAAGAACGAAAGTAATCATTAAATGCTGCTTCGTATATTTTATTCTGTTCAAATTCTTTTACAATATGTGATATCACTTCATTATCTAAGGTAATACCAACAATTTCTATTATTCAGAGCATAAAGTAATTTTATTTTGCTTTTTAACAAATCAAAGAATAATTGTACTAAAAAATTCAAAATATAATTTTTTAGTAATTTTGGAAAAAACGACTTAATTACAATTTTTTCTAATTTTATGCTAATTCATGTAAATAAAAAAATGTTTTAATAATTATAACATTTATAAAAAGTATTATATTATAACTTGACAACCCATTCAAATATTAACTATTTACAAGTTAAAACAAGTACTATTTCAAGATTTTTCAAAAGTTGCTTTTTTGGTTATTATTTTAAAGTATTTAACCCTTTATATATTTTTTGTAAAATGAATTAAATAAGTAACTATTTATGAGATATGGACAATTATAAGGTTCTATACATATATACTAAAGTATAAAGATTAGTTGTTTTCTATACAGAACATTTGTATTCAAAAATTATTTAGGAACCAGTAGATTCCACATATATAATCACATATGATGACAGTTGTCCTAAAATAATGTAATAGTAATTTTACAGTGAAATTATAATAACAAATATTAAATCTTAATTATTTTATTCGGCAACTTTTGTTAATGTCATTATAATTGTATCACAAGAAATTGTAATTATATAAAATTGTAATTCCCTACTTTAAAGTACATTTATAACATAAATTTTAGCTTCGATAAGAAGCTGAGAAGGTATTAATTTTACTACGATGTAGTTTTTTTTTTACGTCTGTCGCTAATTTTTCTCAACATTCACTAGACCGACTTTTCTCAGCAATATGTCAAAAAATCACAAATCGTATCTATTTGAAATATTAGATAATTTTCTTTTTATTTGATACTATTTTTTTAAAAATCTGAGACAACCACTCACAGAGAAAATTCAAAATAGCAATTTTTTTTAAAAAGTCAACTTTTTTAACTTAATTTTTGAAAGTATTCCGGAATACTGACACTATTATATATAACTTAAACTTAAAGCATTTGTATTATAATTTCATATGAATAAAAAAAAAAATGGTAGCACAGTGGGGTCGTTGAATAGTATGGACATGGCATAATTAGGATAAGTACAGATGATATCTGACAGTGATTCAGAAAAATTAAAATTAAAATCACTATCATAAGAAACGATTTGATGCAAATCTATAGATAGTGTTTAATTTTTAGAAATAGGTGGATAATTCCAAAAGCAAAATTAACTCCTATTTTTTTCTCTAATTCGTCTGCCATTTGAACATAGAAAATAAGACGTTGGTACAAATTTTCTTTTTTGAACTTCTAGTACATAATATAAGCTTTATTTTAACATTTATTTAAAGACTCAGTATTCCCAGAACATTTTCAAAAGTGAAGTTGAAAAAGTTGACTTTTGTAAAAAAGTTGCTCTTTTGAATTCCCCCTGTGAGTGGTTCAATCTCAGATTTTTAAAAAAATAATATCAAATAAAAAGAAATTATCTAAGATTTCAATTAAAAAAAAAAATTATTTTAATTCGTTCATTTTTCAATACGTTATGGGAATTTTTAGAAAAAAAGTGAAAAATATGTTGAAATTTACTGATTTCTAAAATCGTAATTTTTTGGGGGATTACTGCCATTTTCAGGGAACGAAGGAAAAATGTTCAATTTTTGATTATAATGTCTTGAACTAGATACGATTTGTGATCTTTCGACGTATCGTTGAAAAAAATCGGTCCAGCGAGAGCTGAGAAAAATTATTGACAGACACGCAAAATGAAAATAAATAAACATATTATGGTAAAATTAATACATTCTAATTTTCGCATCAAAGCTAAAATTTCGAAATTTATTTTGTCTTCATGATAAAATAGCTATCATATTCGTTTAAAAGGGCACAATAACTGCCAAAGCGACTTACTACTTTTCTATTTTCAATTTCACAAAAAATCAAAGTATATTTATTTTCAATCTTGCTTTCAATATTACTAAGGTAAACTTACACTCCACATAAGATTTATAAAGAAATCAGAAAAATTAAGTGATCATTAGAATAATATATTGTTTAAATAAATAAAATCGATAACATTTGTACGAGGTCAACCAGCCTAGTCCAATCTTTGAGTGAGTTATCTGTGTGGTCAGTACGAAAAATGACTCTCTTGCGAAGATACAGAAACCACTTGTGGGTCCTATATTACTCGTGGTATTTATTGAGACGACTCACACTCAGCACAAGATTTGATAATTACTGGTACGAGTGCCGTTATTTATAATTTATGCGTGATAATTAATCACAATAATTTCTATTTCAAACTATTATTATATTAATACATTTTCAAACATCACTTTGTTTTTCTATATTTTATATCTTATCATAAATCCTTTGTACTCATACTCTAAGAGAAAATTATATTATATCATTTTATTCAATAAATAGTAACTCAATCATTCTCATGCTCATACTGGACTAACCAGTTACATATTATATTACATCATTTTAGTCATTGTAATCAAATAAATTTCATTTTATATTTCATTTTGAATTACTATAATTTTGATCACTGTCCGATATCATCTACACTTGTCCCAACTATCCTACGTCCATCTATGCCACCGTTTTTTCTTTACTATAATACATTGCATTAATATTTCTAGATATTTTTAAAATATTAAAGTAACATTATTGAAATATTATTATAATATATTGTCTATAAAGTTAATAAAATATTTTGAAAGATTGTAAC